AAGGAGGACGCTGTGTGGCTGTATCAATGTGACTATGAACCTGTGTGTGTGTGTGTGTGCGTGCCCGCATGTGTGTGCATGTGTTAGAAGCCACACACACGTGCACACAAACACACACATCTATTATGTGGGGGAAGGGGGGAATGTATGCTGCATTCATCACAGTGATGTGTGTAAGTTTCTGTGCTCCAATGGAGTAATGTGTGGGTGGCAATTATCTTGTTCAAGATTTTTGCTTTTGTTCAAGATTTTTCTACATGAAATCAGTTGCACATTCAAAATGAAGGACTGCAGTTAATGGTTTAAGTGTGAGCACTTGAACCGTAGACTGTATAAAATGATGGATGACGTGACAACTTCATAAATGAGCCGAAACATTTTGAGCTCCCCCTACTGACTGACTACAGTATAGCTTCATGAACTCTGCATCTTCCATGTTGACAGATGAGACATGGGTCAAATTAGAAAATCTGCTTAGAAAAGGTGCTGTGTGCACCAGATAGGCCGAAAAGAGGAGGAATATAACACAAGAGTAACTGAATTATCCGTAACCATAAGTATCTGCTTCAAACTGAAACAAGAATATTTATGCTTACGACTGAACTGAAGGGTCTCTGCATTTTCTCCTGAAAGTTAAATGTGTGTTTTGGTTTGCAAAATGTGCAGGAAGTCAATATGGCTCCAACGGCCAGCACCCTTTTTTTCGGGGTAGCTTGGCTTAATTTTTTTTACAACTGTAGGAGCCAGAGACACGTCGTCCATCGGTAGAGTCAAAGACTTGAGCACATGGCATCTCCTCTCTTAGTATTAAATGTAATTATTTCTGAGTTGTCCAGGGCACTTCTGGCTCTAGATCATAGTCATGCACCTTTTTGTCATAACAGCAGAGAGCTGCTTTTTCTCAAATTAAAATTGAAAGTCCTAAAAAATGTATTTTCATCATCATTGTATAATTACTTTTGTATGCGTGAATTAGGAGCAAGTTCTGGCCTGCCATCCACTGGGAGGCAGTGCTCGGTTACAAAGGAGACAGCTTGTCAGCGGTTTGTTCACTTTCTGGGAGCCACCCGGAGCTGACATTAAACACACATAAACAAACACTCAGCCATTAACAAGCTGTAAAGCGCCAGCTATAGAGAGGGCCATGATATACACATCAACTACTTCAGAGCTATAGATTAGCCTTTCTACCACGCACTAAAATGTACTTTAACTTGAAACTAGAGGTAATTAATGATGTGTTCGGTTTAGAAAACAGTGACCTCTAGTTTACGGGTCATTCATTTCCATCATTTTATCAAGAGATGCTATTTAAATCACATTATTTATTAAATATCATGAGCAAATACCACTCACATTAAGACCAAAAACAGATATTTTCCTCATAAATGGACTTGGTAAATGGACTTTAGCTTGTATAGTGCTTTTCTTTCTTGTCTTTTGACTACTCAAAACGCTTTTTACACCCCATGTTACACTTACCACACAACATTCACACACTGATGCCAGAGGCTGCTATGTAGTGTCCATCAATACTAACAAATCCCATATACACATATTCACATGCCGCTTACCAGTGGCACCGTCAAAGGGGGGCCAGGGGGGGCCTGGGGGGGAAATAAAACAGGCCTCCTCAAGCGGCCTACCAGATCTGATAGGTAGCATACATTTGAAACTCCAGTATCGAAATTCAAGTATCATGTACATATCGTCAAGTATCTGAAAATACAAGGGCCATTTTTAAATGTTTATCCAATATATTCTGGCTTGGTGTTATGCCATTGTTTGCATGGTGAGCGGAAATGGTTTGTAAATGGTATAGCTACTTACAACAGCATCCTAATGTAGGGCTTTTTATTCAATCTGACATCATCTCAACAAGCTGAGTATGGAGAGTTATTCACCGTCATGCACGCATAGCACTTAGACTTTGCTTCTATGTTTTCTTCCTTTATGCATAAAAAGAGTATCGCTCTAACATTTGGCCAACAGACAACCTCAACAAATCACACAAGAGAAATCCAAAGCTTGACAGACCTGTCAAAAAGACAGAGTGCTAAAGCCAGTCATCTTTAATTCTTAGGATTCGATTTCATAGAGTGATATATATAACAGATGTGAGCAGGTGATTCACAGTAACAACTCTATGCTGAACTATGCTTTTCTCTTGTATTTGCTGCTTTGACTCCATAACAGAATCCAGAGATTCCTCTTTCTGCAATAATAATAGCAATTGAAATAGCAATAGCAATTTTAAAGCACAGTCATGAATAAGATATAGAGATCAAATCAATAAAACATACACACCACATAGCAATCAAACACCAAAAGCATAAAAGAAAATCAAATAAAAACCTGGAAAAACATACTGCACATACAAAAACCACACATGATCACATATACTGTACATACACGCACAATGAGATACTTTTGGTATGCTTGGGAGAAAAGATTTGAGTTTAGCTTTAAAAGTAGAGAGTGTTGTGAGGGACCTCAGGTCGGGAGGTCTACGATCTTATTCTGAGTATAGCTAAAAAGACCCCCACCTGATGATCTGAGGGGCCAGGTTGGGTTGTAGACTTTTTATAATACTACAATAAAAACTGGTTTCATTATCTTCACTTCTTTCTGACTTTGATTGGATTTATAAGTAACAAACGGTCTGGTGACATTTGGCAGTGACCAAGCATTAAAAGGGACGTGGTAAGTGGACAAAGTGGAACATACACCTGGGCCCCTCCCGTCTCCCCATGGCAGGCTGGTCTGGTCTCAAACACACAGGCAGGGAAAGCATGCACAGGCATGTGTGTGCATCCAGTATGCATCCAGATAAATGTCTTGGGTAGTGTGCTCTCTAATAAGCATGCCAGCTAGAACGCCAGTCATCCATCCGTAATTTTGTTATTGAGATTTATTTCAGTATCCATTGTTCCCCTTTCAGCACAGCCATGCCTACAGCCATAGGAAGAGGGGTCAGGACGGGTCAGAGGGGTCAAACTAGGGCTGTACTAGACTCAGATTTTTGTCAGTCGAAACAGATTTGTAAACTTGGATTTTTCATCCTTTACTTTTCAGTTCAGCTCCACAACAAACTTTTATCAGCACATTTATCAGAAATGACTGCCTGATTGTTATTTTTTATTCCAGCTGGTTACTTCTTTAAAACACCAATAGTTACATTTTGTGGAGTTTCTAGTATGTATTTAAAATCGACTTATTTTTTGAATCATTAGTTATACACACTCAACTTAAATTTCAATACAAAATATGAACATGTAAAAGGTCATGTCTGTTTTTGACTTTGCCCCATCTCTGAAGAGGAGATCAGAAGAGCTCAGCTCACAGTCCCTGAATCCCTGAACAAGAGCCACTGAGAACCCCTTTTTTACATCAAACATGCTGTATCTAGAGGATAATGGGAGAGGAGGAGACATCTACAGATAAATCAGTTCCTGTTCATGGTGGAAACTGAAGAAATATGAACTTAAAAACATGTTTAGCATAAGCTATGATGAAGCTCAGCTCGCAGCCAATCCTGGTGTTCCTCTGTCCACACAAAGAAGAGCATAATAGAAACAGTTGTGTTTAACGTCAAATGCCTTTTTGCATTGTTTAAAATAGTTTTAATTACTGGGTCTGTTTACTGGAGAGGGCTGATTTGGCTCACATTTAAAACAAGTTGAATATTTAGCAGTAGCAGTTAAGCTAGCAGCCTCTCCTGACATCCTGCGTCTGTTATTTTCAAGGTAAAATAGCTTCATTATTGTATCTGCTTTTAATCACTGGGTCTGTTTGAGAGGTCTGTGGATAATTAGTCTGAAGGAATCTTAATCTTGACATCAATCTGAGCACCTAAAAGCTAGAAGAAGCTCAGCAACCCATCCTGATGTCCTGTGTCTGCGCAAAGAAAGGCCTTAAACACTGACTTTAAAAAGGACACTGTTTCATTATGTGTCTCATGGTTGTAATTACTGCGTCTTTTTTTGTCTGAGTGGAGGAGACTTCTGTTCAGCTTCCTGTTGAAAGTTAAGTTCACATTCTAAGAAAAAAAAAATCTAAATAAATAAAAAGCACAACAGATATGGTCTCAAGTTTCTGTTTTCCTATTTCTATCAATGTGTTGATGTATGGTTAGGATCATAGACTGTAAATAAGGTTAGGATCTTTCTTTAATGTTGATGATTTGTGTACTGCTATGGATAAATAATTGTATTGCAATAATTTTTCTGTGCATTTTTACTTTGCATACATGATGTCATTGTGTTTTTAAGATGCTTTAGTCACTTGGGGAGTTTGTTTATGACCACAGCTGCCATCACAGTGCGTATCCCCTAATTTTAAAGAGTTATCCCCTGACAGAGACCATTAGGTCAAAACATTTGAATTCCTGATTTTTTTTTGTGTCATTGAGGGTGCCGTTTCTCTACTTTTACCTTCTGCTGTTTGTTTTTTGTTTTTTTCAGATTTTTATTTCACAGTGGACAGAGTCGGTAATCACGGAGCGAGAGAGAGAGGGGAATGACATCAGACCTGTGTACAAAGGGTGCACATACCACTAGTCCGCCGTCGCCCCCTGTATACTATACAGGCAACCAACCTTCAAAGATTACACTCTGCCATACTATTGCTGTTACATTTCTTATAATATGCAGTTGAAATAAATAAAGAAACATGATAGTGCTCTGATTCAACTGACAAAACACGACTGGGTCATTTTGACCTAAGGTTAATTGTTACACTTTTGAGGCAGCCCTGAGTCAAACGCCCTGCCGACAGCCTTCATAATGGCTCATGCTTGCTCTGCCAGTCAGTTTTTTTTTAAGGGTCTGCATTCATTCTCAAAATCAGAGAACCGCTCAACCACAATGATCTGTGACTATAAAAGTGAGGAGTGGGTCTGAATTCCTGTTCTGATGCTGTGAATGAGCACAGACCCCAGTATGAAGGGGAGACATTAGTGGTGACCCATGCAGTAAAATCCATCACCCAGCCGGCCTTACCCTGTCCTTCACTATGACACACTTTGCAAGGGGGAGGAGACAGACAACGGACAAAGAGTTAGTTTGGGTTACACTGGAGACAAAATCCTCTGAGAACACACGAGTTCCACCTCAAACAGTACAGTGACACTCAAAGTTAACAAAAGCTGTGAACTATTGGGGACTCCCCCCTGTTCACTTAAGTCTGTAAGCTGTGAGTGGATCTGTACACACACTTCCTCCGCTCACTGCTCCCTTGGCTCTGCAACCGATGGTTTTTCTTTCAGCTGGAAAATCATAGAAGAGTCTAAAACATAGAAATCTGTTCATCCTCTTTCCAGAGTAGAAATCAACTTTCTTTAAAACAGACATGTTCAAAATTTGAACAATGCAAGTGTTTTTTGTTTTTTTTGTTATCTATTACCTTTTGGTGGCACAAACATCACAATCACAGCACAGAGAAAACACAAAAAAAAGATGCTAACCACTTTGTCCTCCTTTGTGGCATGCAGTCCAGGTAGCAGTGAGAATTGAGAAAAAGTAAAAAGGTGGAAGTGGAGCCAAAGAGGTGAAGAGAGGAAGGAAACGAAAGAGATGCAGAAAAGTGTCATTTGTAAAAATGGGAGATCAGGAAAGATTGTGGGGAAAGAGGAGAAAAAACAAAGGAGAAAAGTGGGAACAAGAGGACGTGGTGCAAACATTTGTTAATAACATTCTGCAGAATTGGAAACACATACTTCATATTTAGTGACAGGGTGAGTGAGACGGTGGGAACGACAGCATGTGAACGTATGACACATGTTAGGCTGCAGCGACATGCATGACCCAGCTTGGGATGACCTTGGTGTGACGCATGACCTGTGACATCATCAGGATGTGTCACAGTCCTTTTCAGCATGAAGAGAAAACTGAGACAACATGGAGAACACTCCTGAACACTTATTTCTAAGATAAACGTGCGCCTGTCCCAAAACTGTTTCAAAGAAGAACTGTTAAAGACACTTTGTTTGTGGCTTAAAATGAACAATTTAAAAAGTCCATATGTCAGTGAAAGGGCAAAATAAAAGCTTTTTGGATGATCTTTAAGCTAAAATATCTAATTGTCTTTGCTCAAATAACAGGATACATGTGAATTTATTTTTAAATACTTTGTTTTTACTTTGTTTGAATATAAAAGGCTTAATGAATTATGTAAAATTGGTTGTACATGAAGTATTCGCTCTGCTATGTAATGTTTTAAAAAACTTCTTTAGAAGTATTTGGAATGTAGATGTACCACTGTTTCATTCGTTTCCTTATTTATGGTGATTTACAAATACCTAAACAAATTCCTCCTAAATGTAAACTTTCTTAGCAGTGGTTTGAAAAGGCTTGCGGTTTGAGATATAAAACTTCATAATTTAAAGTTTAACTTGACTAGATTTCTGTGTATTGCATGTGCGTAAATACATTTCAGATAGCATACAGTACAGATTGTTTAAAGTATGTTTGGATAAGAATTCAGACAGAGGCTGGATGTTAGCAGAGGCTAGATGTTGACAATAACATAAACCACAGAAAAACTCTCGAGGGATTCCATGGTTTAAAATAAAGGTTTATAGCTGCATTTGTGCACGTCATTGCTTCTTAAAAAATAAGCACTATTTGGGCTTTTCTAAATATGTGACAGATGCAATGATCATGGGACTTTTCCAGGGTTTCATAATATATATATATATTATATATATATATATATATCATTATATGGGACATTCTGCCGAATTAGTTCAAAGTGCAGTCCCATTACAAAAAAAAGGTTGAACAAAACAATTAAGTATTCAGACATGGATATTTACTGAGATTATATTAAGATCTATTTAAACCCAGGGCATTAAATGAGATAGTGATAAGCTAAATAAAAAAAAATCATCATAGGGTACTTTCTATTGAGAAGTAGCTGTCCCCAATCCTGACCCCTAAATTTCAATTCATGTAAATACCACTTAAAACATTTTTTAGATTTGTTTCAACTGTGTAATTTAAAAGAGCTTTATGATGAAGTTTAAACAAACATTGAAAGACTTAGATTTATTGTGGGTTTCATTTTTAAATGAAAAAACTATGCTCAAAAAATCATGTCCCTTGTTTTCATGTCACTAAAATAAAATAAAAATAATATTTACAGAAGGGAAGTAAACATAATACTAACAGGTTAACATAATATTGTTTTTATCATAGTTTAATACTATGTTTCGGTAGTGACAAATTTGAGGAGAGGAAATACATTCCAAAACAGTCTAAAAATACAATATCAAATTTAACTGTTCTTTTACTAGATATGTGTACTTCAGATATGTTACAATATATATAGTTTTTTTTTGTAATAAAACTTTAAAAAATTCAAAATATTTTCAACATGACTTTGAACAAATTTGGTAGAATGGCCCATATATGTATAATTGTATATTTAAGCTGTAATTGCATAAAGATGGCACGTGTTATGTTGTGTAATGTTTTACTCCTTCATATATAAACTATATACTGTATTTAGGTTTTTGAGAAATCTGTCCTTGAGATGAAAATAGAAATGAGACTTTTTATGTTAACAAGTTACATTATATGTAAAGAAGCAAACAAGACTGGCACACCAAGGAGCTCCTGTTTGACGAGTAACCTTTGGAGCAATTCTTCTCTATATGTCTACGTGTGAGGATTCTTTTCGTGTTTCTGGATCCTTTTTGTGTTTCTGGATCCAGAACCCATTTAGGGATGTGTGCGTCTTTATTTACATTTTTTGAACAAGTTACATTATATATAAAAAAAAAAAAGGTTACATTATGTATTTGGAGAAATACATTTTAAAGTTTTAAAAGTCTTATTTGTTATATTCAATACTCCATCTTCAGCAGAAAGTCAGTTTGATTAGATTCAGAGAAAAAGAAAAGCACTCCTTTAAAGTTTAAGGATGTAAATGTCACAGTTAAGCATTTTTCAAAAAAGACAGTGTTGGTTATTTTTAGCAATGTTCTTTCAAAATGACTACATTTGTGTTGGCTATAGATTTCATTTATATCATGCTAGTCTTACATCTTTATTTCCATGCTGCCTGCTGTGAAAGTGATATTACTGTCGTTACCAACAGGGATGTTATCTTTATCTCCTACACTCACTGCGGCCCCTCAGTTCTGCATTAGTGCGATGCCAGTGTGAGTTCAGGGCCAGCTGGTCTGGGCGGATACAGAACAGATTGGGGACCAGCAGGCTGAGGGTGGAGGGCCCATAGTCAGGTAAGATACCCAGGAGGAGGTGCTCTCTCTTGAGTTGGAGGGAAGCCCAGAGATTGCGTGGATGGAGGAGGGCCGAGTCTTAAAATAGTGTAAACATGTCCGGCATACGGATGGGTGCCTCATTGAGACAAACCTGGACTAAATGAATGCGTACAATTTGGTGATATGGTTTTGTAATAGTGTTTTCAAGAGCGCTAAAAGACATTGTGGATCAAGTTAAAGATTAAAATGTGAAGCAAAGTCTGAGATAAACAGGTCAGTTAAACAAATGAAAAGCCTTTATTAGACGGCATGTTAATGTTGCTCCTTCATAAAAACTCTAATGACTTTAGTCATGAAGACTTAAAAAACTACATCTTCATGTATCTCTGTCCAAAAAGTATCTATGACTTACCTTGTTTGAGTCCAGGGGGCGCTATTCTCATTCACATTTTAAGTTGACCCTTTTTCTATTTATTTGCATATTCATATTTCTTTTTAGCCTCACACTGCGCTACATAGACAAATGCCTCATTTATTTATTTACATGCTTAAATAGGGTTAGAGTACATTGTTGAACATAAACATGTAAATATGCCAGATTGTAGCCATAGGCTAATTTTCCATTTGGTGACCCCCGGACTCTCTTCTATCCTTGCCCTTAGGTCAAACATCTGATTAATCTGCAGAGATATCCATACAGCATGGGTGAGTATTAGACAGATACGAGATAAATAGGTGGAGACGACTACCTGAAAACATCTGGAGGCATGTTAGCATAGGGCTTCTGTAAGGTACAGCATTATATATGCAGAATAGAGCCCGATCGATTAATCGGCCAGCCGATAATATCGGCCAATATTAGAATATCAAGTGACTATTGGTATTGGCTAATTTTATCGCAGATATTCGCAGATATTATTTGTTCACCAGTCAAATAGCCTTTCATTTGAGTATCATTGTATTACACTAGCAGTTCTCTTTCACCAGCAGAGTGTTCGACATGGAATACAACAAGCATCACCACTCTCCAGTGAATGTGTTATGCAGTGATGCACGTACATGGGCAGTTACTTTCCAGTTGAGTGACCATCCTATCTTCATTATATATCTTTTCTGCAAGTGTACAATAACAACATTTGAGGATCAAGCGTTTAATATGTATATCGATATCTATCTATCTTTCTCTACAGATTGAATATAGAAAGTCTAAGAAAGATATCGGTCGATATATAGGTATCGTATTTTTTCTCTCCGTAGGCCCCAATCCCATATCGGTCCAGTCGTAGAAGAACACTGATTCTAACAAACCCATGATTGGGTTTTTACACCTTTTCAAAACTTTGATGCCTTTGGAAAATATTGTTACTGCTATATAAACAGGTAAATGGCAGTCAACTGGAGCCACATTGTTTACACACTTGACATGCGTCATTCTCCACGTTACCTGACGAACACACCCTCCCAATTTTGCGTTTTTTATTTATTTTTTATTTAGGCTGCAAAAATGTCCGGTCTCACTCCCTGCTCTGACATGGCCTCCTGCCCTGCACCACAACTGTCCTCATATATCCAGCCCCACCACCACCACCACCACCACCCCAGCATAAACCTGCAGGATCCGTCTGGGGACTTTAAAATATGATCTCATCATTACTCAAATCGCTGCATGTAAAACAAATATGCAGGAAGTGATGAGGTCATAGGCTAGGCACCAAAGTCTACCTCAGGTCTGTTGATGCTATAACCATTTCAAACATGAGCGAACTACATATGCAAACCTGACCTTTCACACAGCTGTTTTCAGGGTAGTGAGTTTATTGTAGGGTCTTTGTTGTTGTAGTTTTTGTATATTTTAAAATCCTATTTGAGATGTGTAAGCCTATTTGCTTGATTGGTCCTGTTCTTTATTTTTGGCATGTTGCTTTAGAAGGTCAGCACTGTTGCTGTCTAACATGCTGGCTTGTGATGGTTGCAGTGCATTCACAGGAGAAAGGACACACATCCAAGTGAGCTACTGAGCTTCAGTTTTTTCAAAAAACAGATCAGCCTCTGATTTAAAATGAACAATAAAGGGCCTATGAGTGATGCAAAGCCATTCTTACACACACTTTGGAGTCAACAAAGTGTGTCGCAGGGAGCATCAAAGCAGACAAAAACAAACACAAAAAGCAGAAGAACCGCACTCGACAACAGCCTATACCGCAGGAATGAGGCGAGTGTGAGAGAGGGAGAAAGAAAACGTGGGAGATCAAAAAGTCAGGTTTCTCACATTGTTGGAGCGCAGAGCAACTCGCCCTCCACAGCGAGCGCAGAATTTGGTCTGGCAGTAGGAGCAGAGGTGGCCACAGCCGTCCGCAAACTTGGTCTTGCGGCAGATACCGCAGGTGGGCGCGTCGTCCTTCTGCAGGGTCTGCTGACGCCGTGTGTCCGCCCCAATGCGACGCACCTCCTGTTTGTAGCTCTCAAACTGCTGGTGCAGTGTTCTGAGAAAAGAGGAGAGAATAGAAAGAATACAAATTAAGATTTTAAGACCTTTTGAACTTGACTAAATTCACCCATCCATGCTTTTTAAACAGCTCTGACTACTATGTAATCTTGTATCAGAAAAACAAGACAGGACATGGAATAGTTTCTGAATTGGTAAATAATTTTTCAAATATAAGAAATGTAAAAAAAAAACTCAAAGTTGATGTTATTCACACTCATGTTTGAGAACATTTGAGTATCAAAATAACTGGCAATTAGGGCAGCAAAAATTAAGGTGCCTTTCAAATAAAATAAAAAAAATCATACACGCAATTAAATCTAACTTCAGCTCAGTTGTGCGCTCTGCAGCTCACAGCGTTTGCCCTTTTTCCTAATGCTTCTCAAAATGCCGAGTGATGGAAAGATCCCAGTGTGAATTCCAAATCAGTCCATGTGAAAATACCCGCAATGTTGTCTCAACAAAAGAGTCAAATGAATACTGCATTAGCATAGCATATAGAGGACCCAGGACCGGCACTTTAATTACTTTGCTGAGTGAGACAGATATTAGAGCGGAAGGAGATGGGTTCATTCACAGCTTTGCAGCCAATTTCTCTTTTCATGGAAGCAGACAAACTCGGTGGTTAAGTTCCCGTCAGCTCCCTGACTTTACAGTCGTGTCTGCAAGTTGCTTGTACTTTTAAGAAAATGCATGAACACTACCCAGAGCTGCATTTACACTTGCAGAAGTAAAAGCGAAACAATAAGACTTAATCCTCAAGAGAAAGTGGTAATATTGGAAAGCCAACATGGTAAATGGTTGATCACCTGGCTCTATTGAAAGCAGACATGTCCTCTCGCCTGTATAGCTCAGCTGCTGGATAGGTAGGTCACTGATAGAAAACATATTCTCTGATCGGCTGACAGCAGCTTTTTCTTGTAGAAGAAATCAAACAGATAATAGTCCTCCAACATGACCCATCCACAGTCCAGGGACAATAAAGAAAACTTTTGGATAAAAAAAAAAATCTGTCCTTGTGGAGGCTTTGCTGAAAAACAAGCTGTCCAAACAAACTGTTATGTAATTTCCACAGAATGTACAGTCTCCATAAAATCGTTCCTAAGCTGCCAAACAGAAACTTTCCAGGAAACGAGCTGACAGAAGACAGTTTGCACAGTTTCCCTGCTGCCTCTCTCTGCCTCTCCGGTTCATCTAAGAGTAGAGACAACCGACTGTCACCACACAGAGCTGAGACAGGGAGGTGACTCTTAAACGGGGGACATGTCCGTCCAATCAGCTGACTGACACGGGAAGTGGTCGGGATGAGGCTGTTAAATAAAATCTAACATGAAAGTGATGCTGAAGAATATTTACTTGAAAAATGCACATTGATGACACAATAATAAAATGCAGACATGTAGCTTTAGGCTGAAATGTTCCGTATGATCTAGTCTTTTATGCATCTTATTACATTACTTGCCATGTTACATTTATTTCTACAGGCTACTGTAAAGCTAAGTGATGCAATTGTCCTCACAAATCCTCAAAGACCCTCAGGTTATTATAGAAAGTATTTTTCTATAGACTTTCTGTAATACCCTGAGGGCTCAACATCTTTTTTACAATTCTACAATACACTTAGAAAGAAAGAAGTAAGAAAGCCAGAAGAGATGGCTGTCCTTGTCAAATGGCAGTGGTGGGATTTGAACCCACTCCTCCTGAGAAACAAACCTATTTCTTTGTTAACACATTTTCTATACAGTTATATATTGACGTTCGCACTTCCAACACTTTGTAGAGTTTGTCGAGTATTTCCAGCTATAGTAAACTGAGGGGACACTTAAAGGGATACTTCACCCATTTGCATTAATATTTGTATCATTAGAAACCTGGTAGTATTTTGAATGGTCGTGCATCCCGCCCTCATTTTCCCCTGAGATGAGAAATCTTTGTATTTCTGAGTCTGAAAAGGAGCTTTCAGTGACTCAAAGATCGTCTTTTTTGCGTCACTGGAAGCTGTTGCGACTACAATGCTAGTTCCTCATATTTTCAACCACTGAAGCTACAGACCAATCACAGATCAGTGGGTGGAAACTCACGCCCAGAATCGAATCTTTCTTCATTAGATAATGTAAAAATAAACAAAAAAGATGAAGGACAAACAAACTAGACTTGACACAAACCTCAGCTAAACTGATTCATTGGTGATTTAAATGGAAAAAAACAACATCATAACCCCCACGGCACCGACGTCACATAAGTGACCTCTGACCGCGAGGAGCTATCCATCCTGCCAATGCGAGTCCAGGGGATGAGCCAAGCCCATGCACCATGGGAACAGCTGTCAGAAGCAGAGGGTGCACAGCCGGTTGTCATAGTAACGTGGTGGCGTCAAGCACTGGGTGTCAGCAGGTGTCTGTGCAGCAGCTGTTCCTGTTCCTAGAGCCGCCGTTCATCAGTCTTCTTCACCGATTTCACACATTTATGCAGATAAGCTGCAGCAAATGTGTGTTTTGTGTCCTCAATCAAAAAGGAGTTCTGCAGCAGCGAGACGAGACTCGTCACCTTCAACTAAACTTCTCTAGATTTATCCCCAGGGGAATTCTAATAACGAGTCTGAATATTTTCCATCGACATGACAGGTTATACACAAAGATGGTACTCCACTGCTGTTGAGTGAAATGTTTCTATTCATGATACATGCATTATTTCTTGATTCTTTTTTTTGTTGGAGCTTACATTACCTCAAATATTTCCAGCAGTTATCAAAGCCAGAGAAATACTTAATTTTTTAGTTGTAACAGGACGTGTGTTGTCCTGGTGGCTATGACAGACACGACATGTATATTGTTGCCAAGGAAACATCGGATTCTACGTCAAAGACTGCTGCATAAGGAAGCGGAAACAGCTACTGAAAGCTGTCGTACTGCTGCTGTATGTGCTGCTGTGATAAAAACATCATGTGAGTTAAACTTGGATACATCGTCGGTAAACATATTCTCTTCCTTCTACAGTAGCTAATACTGACAGTAACAGTTTTACTCCTCTATAGAGCAAAGAATTAAGGTTATCTTAAATACAAAGTATGCAGCTAAAGCATTCATTAAACATGTGACCGAATATTAAACATTTACAGCCTAACAAGTGACCGAGTGACTCACTAGATTCATGCACTGGGAGTCGACACAGAGCTCCCATATGGATCATGTCTACAACAATGCATCTAATCAACACTTCCTTTATGTAGATCTAAACTAAACTCTACTGTACATTAAGTCTATGGGTGAGCCTGGTAGGTATGAAAACATTATCAGTCTGAAGACAGAGGTGTCCTGTTTGGGTAGGATTTGCGCTCTCTGTGTTCACTCTACTATGTGTTCATTGATTACAGGCCCGAGCACATTGCTTCCGCAGGGTCGGCCACCATGCCTGGGATCACAGGTGCTGAGGGAGAGCTATTAATGAAGCATGAAATGCATGAATTAAGTGTTTACTTTCCATTTTGTAATTTTTTTTTTTAACTCACAAAATGTATATGCAAACGTTTTCCCCTCCAGTTAGTAGGCTACATATATTTTTTTAAAACTACAAGAGACTTCACAACAACATCACTATAATGGACAGCTCCCCGTCTATTTCCACACAACAAGCATACAACAGAGTATGTTTGGAGAACATAGTGGAGTATAGCCCTTAACCTTTAGCCTAGTTTACAGGAGTATATTATACATCATATTACACAGCTTCATATCATAAAAAGTATGCCCCATTAAATCAATTTATTCCTTATGACTTCCAAACTGTTTTCTTTTTCTGATATAACCAGGGCCTTTTTAATATCGTTGTGCATTTGAGTTGATGGGTGAAGGTGTCAAAGCACCAAAATCTGTAAGAACAGTTTAGATAAACAACAAAAGGACCTTAAACTTAAGGAGCTGGTCTGAACAGATGCTTTTAAGGAGATTTTAAAGGAGCTAGAGGCAGGCACAGCTGATGTTCTCCCTTATATATTAGATTTGGACAAACTTTTGCTTATTGCATTAAAGTAATGTATCTTGAAATAGCCATATGTTTGAATGTATTGCTACTCATCGCTTGTCCCTTGAGCCAAGTACCGAACTGGTGTGCTCCCTGTGTAGCAGTGTGGAGTAGTCCCACTCTGACATCTCTCCACTAATGCATGTCCACTGATGTCCACAGGTCCTGTTTGTGCATGTGTGAGAAGCATATCTCTTAGCAGAGTGTAAACCAGAATTTCCTCTCAGGGATTAGGCTAATAAAGTATATAAATTCATAAAAAAATATATACATATCAGGTAACCCTACTTCTTCTACTACACATCCCTAAGATGCATCTCCAGTTTTAAACTATTTTAGAGAAGATACTGTTGTGATGATCAGGTGCTATTACAGATGACCACAAGGTGGTGATAGTGGTTAATCATAAAAGCTATGAGACAAAGTTAAGTTAGATAGCCGAGGTAGAAGATGTATGCTAACTACACAAGCCATACAAGTGTACAACACGTTTGTGTATGAAAGTCCGGATGATAAGAACAAGTTGGACATTGTGCTTGTTAACTTTGATGCACATTGCTCTCCAAAGAAGAACGAGACATATGAGAGATATATTTTTCGGTCTCGGATGCAGCAACGACGTGAGCCTTTTGATAGCTTCCTTACAGACTTAAGGCTAAAAGCACAGTCGTGCAACTTTGCAACATTGAAGGACTCTATGATCAGGGACTAGATCGTTTGTGGCGTGGAAGATAAAAAGCTCAGAGAACGGCTACTGAGGGAATCGGAGCTGAAGTTAGACGGAGCCATCACCATTTGCAAGGCAAGTGAGCTGTCTCAAATGCATGTGAGGATGTTCAGCGAGAGAGAGGCGGGAACAGCCAACGTGGGTGACAGTGTGGCTGTTGATGCTGTCTCAGGCAAAGGAGGACAACGCACGCATACCCGGCAGACGCATCGGACTGATGACTGTAAATTCACCTGCAAACGCTGTGGCTC